GGATTTTGTTCTTTCAATATGGCTGCAGATGAAAGGCTTAGACTTTAGGCTGGGATCGGGAACCTTTTCTGGGTTGGGGACCACTGACCTGGGGAAAAATCAGTCAGGGGCCGCACACAAGTGAGAAATGGGAAAAAAACCTTCACTGTGGCCCGCGGCTGAGAAAGAGAAAGACACTTCCCACATTCCCCTTGCACACCAGACCCTGGGGGGCAGCCTAGTAGATTGTGTGTGCTCCAGCCCCGGGGGCGGAGGGGGGAACAGGGGAGCTGGAGCACCAGCATAGGCTCCCCAATGCTGGGGGGGGGGGGGGGCTTCGGGGGCCGGATCCAGGCAAGCCAAGGGCCACATCCAGCCCCCAGTCCTGAGGTTTCTCACTCCTGCTTTAGGCCTTCCAGTATGGCTACAGAAAAAAGGCCTTATCCTTACAGGTACAGGGAGAAAAAGAGGAATGGTTCAGAGACTGCAGTAATGGTGACAAGAGAGATTAAGCAGCTGGATATGAGGAAAACATTTCCTAAAGTTGAGGAGCAGTTAAACTGTGCATGGTCCATGTGGTTCAGTGTCCCATCTCTGATAGTAGCCAGGACCAACTGCTTTAGCAGAAGGTGTAAGAGCCCTGCAGTATGCAGTATGCAGATCTGCACCCTTATTAGGCCCATCCTCGGCCCTAGTAATTCGAGATTAAATTGGGGCTTGAAGTATAAGGTTCAACATCCCTTCCAATTTTTACTGTCATTGACTAGGCTAACCCTGGATACTCTTATTACCCATAGGGATGCCCAATCTCTGACTGAATCTTGCTAAATGCTTGGCTGCAACAACTTCCTGGGACAGTCATTTCCACAGCACAGTTCTGAATTTCCCACCTTTGAATGTCACTGAGTATCCTCTTATTGTTGTGTTAAGTGGCAAGGAGCATAGAAATTTTTGCTCTGCCATTTCTAGACCAGTTCTTATTGTACAGACTTTTATCATGTCCCTTATTATTTGTTTCCTTTCTAAGATAACAATCCCAATATTTTCATTCTTTCTTTACACAAGTTTTTCCAGGCCTTTGATCATTCTGATTGCTCTTCTCTGCTGCAACTTCCTTCAGAGATGCACATGGTATCCAGATAGCTCCATACATGATTTCTATCAAGGCGTTACAATTTTCTCCACACCATTCTCTATCTTATGCATTCTAGCTTCTTGTTTGCATTTTTTATTGCAGCACCACATTGAGGAATGGTAGCCATTGCCGGCTATGATTCCTTGGTTCCCTTCCTGAATTGATAGTTAATTTAGAATCGCAGTGAATTATTTTAACCCCCCCTTCCCTCCCCACCACAAACACATTGTGTTACTTTGTATTCCTCAGCACTGAAATTTGCCACCATGTTGCTCATGTTCCCCTAGCATTTTTAGGTCTCTCTGAAGTTCCTACAAGTTCTCTTTTGGTCCTCTTTGTCCCGACAAACCCAAATAATTCTGTCATCTACTCAGAATTAGCTTCTTCATTAATCACCCACTTTTTCAGGTCATTAATATATTAATCTGCACAGAACCTTGAGGTCCCTACTGTTAACCTTTAGCTATGATAAAAATTAGCCATTTATTCCTACTATTTGCTTTCAGTCTTGTAACCAGGTCAACTGGCCCCTACTTTTAAGATTTTTAAAAGAACAATGAGGCATGGCATGCCTTTTTAGAATCCATGTGGGTTACAACCTATTAGATTATAAACTTTGTTAATGTTTTTAATTCTGATTTCGACCAATTTATCAGGGATGGAGCTAAAGCTCAGTGGGCTGTATTCCCAAGAACACCCCAAGAGCCTTATTTAAAACACTGAGCCTGCTTGACCTGTAATAGCCCAGGCACCCTGCAATCCTGTCTTGCTGAACATGATTCTCCAGCCTGTCCCAGCACAGACATAGGGAAGGGCCATTCTCCTCTGCTTGTCATACAGACCACAGACAATACAGTGAGGGACAAATCCTCAATACACTGCCCTTTTCCGGATAAAGATGTCTTATGCTGTGTGTAATTCCAAACAGATGTGGACATAAGAGATAGCACACAGAACAAAGTAAGTTACGAAGTAAAATAAAACAGAATAGCAAGCTAAGCTGAGTACACTAGGGGAATTTGTTACATATAAGTTCTCACCCTAAATGTGGTTATAATAATTTCTGCACAGCGTGGACATCCTTCCAGCCTGGTTCCAGTCTTTTCCCCTCTTCAGCCTTAGATGTTTCCAGCAGTCATCTTGGGAGGGGCCCCAGGGGAGAACTGATGACCTAGATTACCTCACTCTCCATCCTTAAATAGGATTTGCCTAAGGCAGGAATCCATTGTCTCCCAAACCTGATCCCCCCTTTCCCTTCTTGTGGAAAAGTACAGATTCCAAGATGAATTCCAGCATCAGGTGACATGGTCACAGATTGTTGCAGAGCCAGTAGCAATTTCTTACAGGCTGATCCTCACACTTACAAGTTCTCCCCCAGTCCGTTGACAGTTGCTAATGGAGCATTAGTTCTGTGTCTGGTTTCTTCATTGTTGTACCTGATGGGATGGTGATAGGCTTTTCCCAACATGAACACATTGATAATAAATATAGAGTCAATATTCCTAATTTCAGCTTCAAAGAGGATAAGCACATTCAGTAAATCATAACCTTTCTAATGATATCTCCCATGAAGTGTCTCATATAAAACATATTCCAATTATGTAATATTCATAAGCATATTCCTATAAATACAGTGTGTAACATCACAACAGGTACATTTGCTACTTCTTCTGAAGAAGTGTTGTTAATGAGAGAATGTGTATTATTTATTAACAACTCATCCACTTTCAGAACTCTGGGATGTAACCATCTGGGCCTGGAGATGTATTGCCTTTGAAATTACAGGTTTGCTCCCAGCACTTCTTCTCTGACCCCTCAGTCTCCAAGACATCATCTCTAATGCTAGGCATGAGCAGGTACGGGTCAGAATCTCCCCAACATTCTCAACAGCAAAGACAGATGCAAAGAAATCACTTACCTTCTCAGCCAAGTCCTTATCTTCCTTAATTTCACCCTTTCACTCCTATGGGTGATCCAGAGGACCCATTTTTTCTCTAGTTTTCTGCTTCCCATATACTTATTTGTTTTTATACCTTCAGCTGTTAGCTCATCAAACTCCATTTTAGTTCTTCTAATTTCCCTCACACTTAATGCCTGATGTAATTTGTGCTCCTATTTTTTGGTGTCACTAGGGTCAGATTTCCAAATTTTTAAGGATTTTTGTTTGGCTCAAATAGGCTCTCAGGCCTTGCCTGTAGCTATATTCATTTACACCTGACCTTTTCGGTTGTCTTTTTGTTCAGTGGTGCACATATCTTCTGAGAATACTATTGTTTCTTTAAATAGCATTCGTTCCACCTAGGGGTTCTTTTACCTACTTTACTTTCAACTCCAGGGCCTTTTGACTAAACATCTCATTGTACTGAAATCTCCCTTTTCTAAAGGTTTAGTGTCAGTTTTTGGTACCTACCTGACTCTGGGATTTTGAGCATTATTATATGGTTCACTATTACTTATTGGCTCAGCCGCTGTCACTTCCTGAATTAGCAACTCAATGGTTCATAAGAGTAAGCCGAGAATATCCTCTCTTCAATTATACTCTAGAAATATCTGTTTCAAGAAGCAATTGCTCCAGTGTCAAGAAGTTATTTCTCTAAATTTGGTCATATGTTGTTTGACCAGTTTATATGTAAATAGCTAAAGTGTCCCTCCCCTTCCCCATATTATTACCATTTATTTGATTTTCCTGCCTCTACCCTCTTTCCACATAGTACACTCAATTTCTTTTGCTTGATCAAGAGACCAGCGGTATATTCTTATATCTTGGGATTTGTCCGCTCTACATTTTTATGGCACCAGATTTTTTGGAAACCTTTAGACGCATTGCTTCAGCCCTGCCCTTCAGCCTAGTCTGCCTTTCCAATATAGATGGGGTGGGAAATTTGTTTTCAGTCAGGAGCCACTGACACACAGAAAAATCAGTTTTAGGGGCCATATGCAAGTGAGAAGCCCTAAGGCTCACTGCAGGCCAGATCAAAGTATGCCGGGGGCTGGATCTGGTCTGCAGGCCATAGGTTCCCCATTTTTGGCTAGGAGGCTCCAAGGGAAGAAGTGGAAATCTCATCACTTGAGTCATATAAAACTAGAATGGAAAACAGTGAGGGCGGAGGAGTAGGATAGAGGAAGGGGCTGGTAGAAGAAAAGGGACCTAATTGGTCTCTTTCTTCTCTGATTTCTATGACTGATAATTCCTTCTGCAAATGCAGTTCCCATGGAGGAGCCCAGCTGTGTCCCCATGAGGTCATCTTGTCAGTTTGTGACAGAGATGAGCCCCCACATGTCTGCACACCACTGAGAAGATGGTCTTTTCAGGGGCTGATGAGATACAGCGAGCAGCAAGGGGGGGACCATTTAACTTCTCAGGACAAGAAACTATTCCCAAGCAGAACGCTTGGACAAACTGGGGTTACATTGAAGTACATCATGTCCATTAATCCCCTACCCCCCATTTCCACACAAATTAAAAGAACATTAATGGTGCAAACTGAAGCGCTCAAAGTGCAGGAAATGCCCAAGCAAAAGTTGTCTGCACACCCTTAATTTTGCAAGTGCATTGCCATGCAATCTTTAATGACAAAAGCCCATGCTATTCATATCCTGTCTCATTCAGTATGCAGATTGGACTCTCTCACCCTTTTTTACCCCTTCCCGTCTCTTGCTCTCTCTTCTCTCACACAGTCACCATCACGGCCCTGTTCAGAACTAACTTTCGCATGGATTTCCCCTTTGACCTTCAGGAGCTGCCAGCCTTTGCTGTGATAGGGTAAGTCCAAAGGGACTCAACAAATTGCAGTGCTAAATTGACATCAAGCTGACTCCGTTGCAGATCTTCACATAAAATGGAGTGACAGTCTGCTTAGAGCTTTGCACTCTTTCTGGAGGCTTGCCATTAGACATATTGCAGCACACCACTTTGGAGTGGGCATGGAAACCCAGTCCCAGTCCCAGTTCTTCAACTGTTCCCAGGGTCTGAATCCAGAGCCCATTCAAAAAATGCAGAAATCCAATTTTCATCTTCTTTTAGGAGGCTATGCCCAAATCCATGCTAGGGTACACAGCACTGCCGTGGGATTCTCCAAAGCACCTAGCCGTATGTCTGCATTTCAAGCTGGAGAAGTCTCTTCCTGTGCGAAGAGATAGCCTGACTGAACTGGCACACTAAAACCAGAGTCACTGCAGGCACAAGCAGTGGGAGGCAATAGCTGCTTGAGTATGTACACATCTGAGACAGTAGGCAGTTAGCCTCTCCTATTGCTCATACCCATTGGTGCTGGAAGTAGGGGTGCTCATGTGGTTTCCATCAACAGGGTTTACAGTTTGCTTCAGCAGCTCTCAGCATCCCCCACATATAAATTGTGCCATTGCAGCAACACTCAATTTGCAGAGCAACAGCTCTGATATGTCTACCCAAGATCATCTTTACACCTTCAGCTCAGTGTGGACATACTCAGAGTGAGCTAGGAAACAAGTCCCACTAACAGTTGCTTAGGGCACGTCTACACAGCAGGATTAAAGTCTAAATAAGCTGCGCAACTTGAGCTACATCAATTGCATAGCTTAAGTCGAAATAGCTTATTTCGGCTTTTGGCGCTATCTACACAGCAGGAAGTCTGCGTTAGAGCGCTCTTCCTTCAACTTCCCTTACTCCTTGCCGAATGAGGGTGACAGGAGTCAGAGTAAGAAGTCTTCCAGCTTGACATTATTTTGACATTATATTGAAATAACTTCTTGTGTGTAGATGCGGCTGCTGTGTAGACATACCCTTAGACACGTTTGAAAATTCCACCCCTCCAATTTATTCTCTTGCTTCTAAGGCTGCCTTCCAAAAGTCCACTCATTTACTCACTATAGATGAGTCCATTTGGGTGGCCAAGGAGAAATAAGCCACTTCACTTGAAACTGTAGGACTGTGACAGCTCCTGCAGTTGCCTTTTGAACCAGGGGCGTAGCCATAGGGGTGCCACGATGGGCCATGGCCCCCTAACATCCAGGCACACAAGGTCAGCTGGAGGGGGTGGGGAGAAGGCAGCCTTGAACCTCCTCTGCCCCCCTTCCTTGCCATCCTGTCACTGTCCTCTCACCTGAAGTTGGGGCTCAACCAACTGTCCCCTTCTCTCTGCACCACTGTTCTAAACAGCCTCATGACCTCCACTGGGGGAAGCCAGGTGCCCCCCTGGAACATCACATATGCTCATTGCTGCATATCTCCAATCCCCCGTCCTTTTAGCAATGTGTTCCCCCCACCCAAACAAATTTCTGCCTCCCCCTCTTCCTTTCCAGCCAGCATCTTTCCTCTCTTCCAGGCTGCACAAAGAAGACACAAGTGCAGGCAGCAAGTGAACAGATTTTGGTCTCCAGAGCTTGTACATATACAAGTCCTTCACTGTTCTAAGAGGAGCTCTGTCCACCCTCCCTGCAAGTGCCAGAGTGGTGGGGAGAGAGCACAGAAAATACACTTCAGATTAAGACAGCGCCACCTAGAGTCCAATACAGGGAATTTGTTTTCTATTAAAACCAGCAAATGAACAAATGTTAGAAACATAGTGTAAATCAGTGGTTCTCAAACTGGGGTTGGGGCCCCAAAGCCAGGGCTGGCATTAGACTTCCTGGAGCCAGGGGCGGAAGCCAAAGTCCAAGCCCCACCACCCAAGGCCAAAGCTCAAGGGCCTCCATCACCACCAGCGGTGGCAGGGTTCAAACCAGCTCAGATTTTGGTCTCCGCTCCTGTTGTAAGAAGTGGGTAGTGAGGCAATGAAATTTGAGAACACCTGATGTAGACAACACATGATTTTATCACATTTCATGCTGTTTGGCACTTCTATTAAAACACCAGCCCTGAAATTATCTGATTGCACAGTTATCTGACAGTTTTGATTGAAATAAAGTAAGTTTCTAGCCATTGTGATTTCAAAGAAAAGCTTAATAAAGCACTTCAGTTTTGGAACTTTTAGAGAGCACTTAACGGTCAAGATATACAGCTTCCTTTTTTATTGTTTAAAAAAAATCTCGTCATTTTTAAGCCAATCTTAAGATTTCTGGGGCCTGATTCATGAGTTTTGAGTGCTTGGTTGGCAGTAAAGATTACATTTTCCTTGTTGATATATCCAGAAAATATTTTAGAGCTTAGTTAAAGGTGTGGTTGTAAAAACATTTCTCTCATGGGTAAAGGCTGGTCAACATTTTCAAAACAAAACATCTTTTAATTGAAAAATGGCCTTATTTTTAAAAATGAACATTTTGATGAACGTTTCCTGATTAGAGTTTTTCTGCTTTAGAAAACTATGGACAGATGCTGTATGTGAAATATTCAGTCATTGGTTTTTTGGTCATCTTTCTCTGTTGAGTAGTTGGCATTTGAACTAAAAAACATTATTTGGAATGATTGATTTGGAAATTTAAAAAACAGAATTCTATAGATATTTTTAAAAAATAAAAATTAATCCATTTTGAAAACGCATTCAATTAAAAGTGAGTCCTTCACAATATCTTGTGGCAATGATTTCCTCAGCTTACTATGTGCTGTGAAAACAGTATTTCCTTTTACAAGTTCCCATTCTTTTAACTTCTTTTTGGGTGAATGAAATACAGCCCTTTCTATCAGGTTACATTCATCAGAAGAGGCTAGTGCTAGCACAGAAAGTCTGCTGCACTTTTTGGTTAGATGATGAATAATGAAGAACTGAGGTTTCAGTTCAGCAAAGCATGTAAGCACATGATTATTTTTAAGCCAATGAGTGTTGGCATTACTTTGCTGAATCAGAGCCAGAGTCCCTGTATATTATGTATGATTGTATGTCCTGGTCCAATCTGACTCCTCAATTCTTCTAGCCAGATTGGTCCACCACCTTGACCTGAATCCCCTCTTTCACCCCCACTTAGATCTGTCATACTGTCGTAGGGTCTTACACTCTCCATCCCTCTGGTGTCTGAGCAGGTATTCGGTTACTTGTACACAGAGCTACAGTGATGTGTCCTATGGTTGGCCTCCATATTGGTGATGCTGAATGGAACCTCTGGAAAGCCTTGTATTTCACTAACTGTCTGTTGAGCAAAAGAAGTACCTCCTCCTTTACACTGGATCCCTGCCACTCACCGAACACCGACTAATTGTGGGGTTTCTCCAGGGACAGTTGGAGAGGGGGGCAGGGAGAATCTTTGGAGGCCTCCCTAACAGTTGGCACCTCAAAAAAAAAAAAAAAAGCTGGAAAGCAGCAGACAAAAGACTGGAACACCCTTGGGAGGTTTCTGTCCCACACAAGACTTGAACTCCCCTTCGGACACGTGTTCTGGATACCCTTTTGGCCAGGGAATTGTTTACGACACAAGGTGGGAGAGAAGGAGATTCAGCTACATTTGCTCTCCCTTTATCAAGAGCCCCAGTGAGGCAGTAAGTGGCCGTGACTGGGAGATGCAGCCTTAGGTGCACACTTTGATTCTGCCCAGTTGTTGCCATTTAAAAGCCCAGGTGAACATCCATGTGTGAAATGTATTTACGCTTTATTCCCTGGTGGATAAATAGCATTTTGTGTATTGTGCTTCATGTTGTTTTATTTCATTTGCTCCCCTTTAGGGTCTGTTGTGGATTCCTTGGAGCCTTTTTTGTTTACCTCAATCGCCAGGTGGTTCTGTGTGTCCGACGGTGTACAGCTCTGAGCCAGTTTCTCACCAAATAGTGAGTGTGCTAGAACAATTGTACTCTGCCTGGGGGTACGTCTAGACTACATGCCTCTGTCGCCAGAGGCATGTAGATTAGGCTACCAGACATAGGAAAATGAAGCGGCGATTTAAATAATCGCCGCTTCATTTAAATTTACAGGGCTGCCGCGCTGAGCTGACAAACAGCTGATCAGCTGTTTGTCAGCTCAGCGCGGCAGCCATGTAAATTTAAATGAAGCGGCGATTATTTAAATCGCCGCTTCATTTTCCTATGTCTGGTAGCCTAATCTACATGCCTCTGGCGACAGAGGCATGTAGTCTAGACGTACCCTTAGAGGCAAGATTCTGATACCCTTCCTGACACTGGACAATGCCTTTGAGTGACATGCTACTCAACATCAGTAAGAGGATCAGAACGTCTCCCAAGAGGCACATCTACACATCAGGACTAACACTAAATTAAGCTACGCAACTTCAGCTATGTCAATTGCGTAGCTGAAGTCGAAGTAGCTTAATTTGGCTTTTGGTGCTGTCTACACAGCAGGAAGAGGAAGGAAGAGCACTCTTCCTCTGGCTTCCCTTATTCCTTGGGAAAAGAGAGTTACCATGAGTCAGAGTAAGAAGTCCTCCAGCTCGCCATTATTTCGAAATAACGGCTTGTAGTTTAGATGCGCACTATGTTAATAACTAACGTTATTCCAAAATAACTCTGCTGTGTAGACGTAGCTTAAGAGTCTAAATCAGACATTCCTGACATTCCTGAATTAGAGGGGCATCCCTCCAAGGCGGGCACAGAGGAACATGCAGGGGGATGTGGCAGGCCTAGGCCATCCCCCGCAGGGGGCAGGGAGAGAGTGCAACCCAGCCCCACTACATCCCCAGCTCTACTGTGACCTTGCCCCCCAGTTATGGCCCCATCCCCTGACCCCATCCCCAGCCTTGGCATGGCTCTGCACCTAGCTGCAGGCCTGGCTGCCACTCCCCTCCTCCAACCCCTCTCCCGCTCAGCTGCAGCTCCAGCCCCCACCCTCCCTTAGCCTCTGCCAGGGGCCACAGCTCTGTTCCCAGCTCCAGCCCTGCTCCCAGCCACACCCCCAGCTACTGCCCCAGCCTGGGCCTCCTTACCTCTGTCCACTTCTCTACTACTGCCAGGAGCCATAGCCCGGCTACTGGCTCCAGAGAGGGGAACAGAAGGGCCTGGACAGGGCAAGGGGAGGCTCAACCTTTGAAAGTTTGGAGACCGCTAGTCTAAATCATGTTAAGACATTTTTATCTGAAAGGAAGAAAAATCTGTTCTGAGTTGAACTTTCATCTTAACAAGCCAGAAGCATCCAATTTTTATTAGGATGAGAAAATATCATTGGTTAGACGGGAAATGTTCTTTGTGTAGAAAATCAATAATTTCTTCATAAGAGCCACCAGTTATGTTTGAAACATATCAAAGAGAAAGTGCAAATTGAAATTTGACCCAATTTCGTAAAACACACTTATAAAATTAGGGCAAACAGAAAAGTTCCCACTTTAAAAAAATCCCAGTGAAAAGTTTAAAAAAAAACCCTCAAATAAACACCATCATACGTTAACCCAATTAATGTGTCCCTGAGAGCAAACAGTGAAAGACATACAAAAAGGAAAGATAACAAAGAGCTTTACATAGCAGCAGGTGTGCATTTTGAAATATCTTTTACCTCTAATAAATCCTAAATCTTTATTACCAACACAGAGAAAGAAATGTCTGTTTGCAACATGTGGGCTGTAAGTAAACAATGTCCATTTAAAGAATAAATAAAATATTTGTATTACCTGTTACAACTTTTGAGGGTTTTGCTTTGTGAGTTGCTGAGTGGCCTCAACATCTTGCAATTTGCACCCAGGAGAACCAAGTTAAAAGGAAATAGTGACATTTTCCTTTAAACGTCAGAAGAACTGGATTAATGACATGGAGGCAGAATCTTCTCTCTCTTATTCATTATGCAGCCTTTTGCTGGGGTATCATCAGTGCAATCTAATCTATAACCAAGTATGTGTAAAAGCAGAACTGAGCCTGAGAAGCAAGTAGTTTAATTTATATTTGTGAACAACTTTTAGATCAATGTATAGAGTTAAGGCCAGGAGAGACCATTAGATCACCTAGTATAACCTCCTAGATATCACAGACCATAGAATGTCCCTCATTTCCTCCTGTGTTGAGCCCTGTAACCTGCATTTAATACTAAAAGCTGCTTGGGAGGAATTCATAGAACCACAGACCATTAAGGCTGGAAGAGACCTCAGAAAAGTTTGATGAATAACATTAATATCTTGCACTGAAATCGTATTTGTGCCCTGCAAGATTCCACTATCTCAATTTTACATCTCAGCCAAGCAATGCAATTCCCTTTAGCACCATACTGGAGCATTGGGATCAGTGCTGATTCAGAGGGAAGAGCACCCTCCTTGTTACGGGATCCACAGAGGCAGTAGGGAGCTGCAGGCAGGCTCCCCTGCTTGTCCCGCATGCTGCTCAGAAACGTGGCTACGGGGCCTTTCTCTTTATGATTCCGGAGGGAGGGGGAAAGATTCAGACACACATTCCACCCCTAGCACAATCCCGTTGGCTGCTTTCTGGACAGAAACTAGCCAATAGGACCTGCCTGTTTGAATAACAGTTACTCAGTCCTGCACAGTTACTCAGTCAAGCGCATGGCCGAGCAGGCAGAAACGTTTTAAGCTTTGCAAGCCTTTAGCTTTGCAGGCAGGCAGGCTGGTTTGGCTGCTGGCTGGTATGCCTCCTGGCCAGAACCTGCTTCTGGCACCCCAGGCCCTCCCTTCCCCAACCCTCTGCTCCACACTCCTGCCCCTCAGCTCCACATGCATCCATATCCCCTCCCAGATCTGGCACCTCAATCTCCTGCCCGAGATCATAGTCCTCTCCTAGGCTGTGTCCAGACTCCATGCCTCCTTCGACGGAGGCATGTAGATTAGCCACATCGGAAGCGGGAAACGAAGCCGCGATTAAAATAAACGAGGCTTCC